ACGTTAACAATTTCTGGTATATTTGGTGCATTTTCGGCTGATGCACACCGTATGTCGTGCTCCAATTTCATTCGATTCCTTGCTTTTGTTTTCGTCGTCACCATTGTCGAAAATCCAATTTCACATCTATAAGTTGTTACGAATAGGATCAATATTCTCAGTGTTCTTTCCGATAGCATTGGATGCTCATCACCTATCTTTGCCCAAAATGCTACCAGTTGGGTGCTTTGGAAATCGATTTTCAGTTCCCTATCTTCGCACATTCCAAGGAATTGTGCTTTGACTTCGATTTCAGTATCTGGAAATCTTTTTTTATCCACTGAAAAGCGTCTTAGCACTCAGGCATTTACTTGGCGATTTTTCAAAACAGGAAATTTATTTGCTGATACAAAACACCACTGATGACAAGTGGCAAGTTATGTCGTCTGTGAATGTGCATTTTTCATTCCTTCCAACCAGCACCATTGTTAGTTCTGGAAACATAGACACGTCGTCAACCATAGCTCTGCGTTGATAAAGCTGAGCGGTTAAAAGATTAATCATATTTCCTTACAAGCTTAGGTTCAACGCATTTATTTCCCCGAGGAGATTCCCAAGAAATGCTAGTTTGAAAATAAATACGTTGTCTGTTATCATGACGCGCAACTCGTATTCATTACCCTTACCCAGCTCCTTTCTTTCAGAAAACATTGCGAGTTCTTCTGCAGGCTCGAGCACTCGGTGCAGCACCTTTCTTCTTGATAACCAACGTAATTATGTGTGCATTAACAGCACGTCGAATTTGCATTCGAATTCATTGCACAAAGCTTTGCAAACTCTTGTATAGGTCGCACTACCGCAGATGACATTAACTATTTTCACTACGTTGGTTAACGCGTCCAGCAAACCAGGTAAAGATTTCACTGCTAATGCATAACAATGTATGATGCATTGCCTAAAGGTAACGTACGGAGCAAATGTTTTGACTAATGTTTACAATCCATAACGGATGCCCAACATGGATGGTGCTCCGTCTATACAGATACCCACCAACTTCGACCACTTTAGATCCTTTTCCCCGACGAAATCTTTCACTGTTCGAAAGACATCTACGCCACGTTGTAAGACACGTTCGTACCCATACTGTGAACATCCCTACGTGTCCAACCACATACCCACTTGAGATATTCTCTAAACACAGGGGGTCATCCCCTGTGTTATTCCCTTCATTCTTCATTGGCCCGGAGACACATTATACCCACCATCCTATGCGTTGTGAAGCGAACCAATCGCGTAGGGTTGTTGGACCCATTGAAAGAGCTGATTTGCCTTATTTCTGCGCATTGCAAAGACCCGGTTCTACTAGGACTGAGGTATGTACCTATTGCACTTGAGTTGTGTTTTATTTACTTGTACCGTAGTTAGCGTCTCGGTTTCCTTTATTGGTTGGACCAGCAAGTTTTTACGTGTCACTCGAGCCTCTTAACGAGTCTATCGTTTACATAAATAGCTTATAGCCACAGTTGAGCATGCAGCTACATCTGCCAACAGTTGGGTACTTGGATGTTATGCAAGCTACTTCTTGTAAATTGACAAAACAATTTGAGTACTTTTTCGTAAGCTGAATGTAGGACAGGACGCAGCGGGATTTACTAGATGTATTCTTCCTGTGCTCGCGTCATAGCGGTTATCAGCGAATCTGTGATATTACCGCCCTCTAACGAATATAGCAGCCAGGAGCTGCAGCACACACTAACGATAAGACATCACTGTTTTATTGTACCTCTTCTTGGTGCATCATTCCACCTGGTAACCGTATGGATGGTATTTGCTTCTCTATTCTTCTATCTGTCTCTATCTATTGTGTATGCCCACACTTCTGACTAAATTTATGACTGCCATTTAGCTTGACGTTTAAATCCAAACTAATCAACGACAGTCGTAATATTTACCCCCGGTAAAATGCTATTTTATCCTTTTGGGGGTAATTACTCCCAGGTTAGGAGCCCCTGGGCTAGAGGTAAGACATTTATACCCTTTTTTCCATGTGGTCACTTTCTGTTGTATCGAGCTGCGCGATTACTTCCATCCCCTAACGCTAGTGAGGGTGCGACCGAGCAGAAATGGGATTTAGGGTTGGTGAGTTACTTTTCATAGGGGAAAGGCACTGTTATACACCATGACCCATATATGTAACAACCAACCGGAGCACTGGTAGCGTGCGGACAGACAGAGCCAATAAGTACCGACCATGATAAGGAACCAATCAGATACGCACAGAGAAGGAAAAGTGATAGGGTTATCGTCAGATCAGAGCTGTGATCCGCGCTCATAAACAACGAAATAAAGAAACCAATGGAGATGACGAAATGACACGTTAAAGCAGGCGTCAATGGACGGGCACGACAAATGGGAAGTCTGGAGTTACGAACGCTTTCATGAACATTTCAAAATTATTCTCGCTCGACCAACAATTGTCTCAGGTTGGTTTGCTTGGTTTTTCTGGCCTGCTTTCCGTCTCTTATTACATGTTTCTGTGAGCCACTGTAATTGTGCTCACCGTAGTTCAGCTTTCGGATCGTAGTTTTCTGGTTGAACTAAACTGAACAATGAAAGAAAAGTGTTAACACCCTATGCAGTACATTTTTGCATATACGACTGTGGTCGCAATAAGACTAGATCTTGGCATGACGCGATGGCTTGCATGCCATTCGGACTCATTGTGACATGTTAACTTCGTTGTAGACCTCTTGCGGGCTGTTCCTGTGTGCTTTTTGTTCCACTATGGGCACGACAGAACATTCTTCCCACTCACATCAGTAACACCTGCTGTCGCTGCTGCCACTGATGATGATTCAGCAAATGATGAAGAGAGGAGCGTATTACGTAAATTATGGAGGTTATAATCATCATTCCGCAACAAACTGCCCCGCACTTCCGTAAACTTCTGCCGTAAATCGAATGTGAAAATCTACCAGTTACTTGGCTTTTACCTTGAAACACGCAAGCATGCGATTTGTAAATTCGTCTCTTTGGGACCTGGTAATTGTAGTTTTGCGGAGCTGTATTCCATGGACGCCACCATAATGCCCGCCAGATATGCACTAGGTCTGTTATAAACTGTATCCTTACCTTTTGTTGTCTGTGACCATGTGAGGCACATGAACACCTCCGCTTGAGGGAAGCTGGCATGGTAGACTCCTCTTATTAGTTAGACACAGCTGGCTAATGCGATTGTGAGATTCTCGGAATCAGCAGCTTTGCGTCAATAATGGTCTCTCAGTCTTAACCGGTGTACTTCCAAGGGCATCTTTTATTCTCAATGGGTTACCACCATGCGTCCCTAGTTCATGTACAGATATCCCCATTGCATTTCGCAATAAAAAACTGTATTCGACAACTTACCCGCATAAACTTTTCCCACATTCTCGTGACTCATTTTTTCTTCTTGCTGTATTTAGTATCCTTGGAAGCTCTGTCATAACGATTCATTCTTGTTATCTGCCAATTACCTCCATTCTAGCCCAGTTTTAAATTGCTACTCATAACTCCATGTCAATTCTAGATTTCGTTGCATTATTCCGAACTGCATTCAATGGATGTTCATTTCGTGTTACACACTTGATATTCATCTCTGGTCATTACATCACATTACATTTCATTTCATCGAGTCCAGTGTTCTCTGTGATTTTTAACTCGGAATCGGCATGTAAGTCTGATGATTCTCAATTACTAATAGACACCTCAAACCTTATACTTTGGTTCACACTAGCTTTCGTCGCTACGTGATACGATTCCATTCATCCCGAGTGAAGTCACGTATCCACTTTTGGGTGCGCAGTGAGCACTAGCAAATGGTACCCACGAGCTAAACCAGAAAAATCGCTAACGCGTCACCCGTTACGCATGCGTAGTCTCAGATTATTGCGTGGAGTACTTGGGTCTCTTTTCAACACCAATTCGTCTCTGTTGTGCCACGTGTTCATTCTGCCCCCAGCACGCTGTACACGTGACTTACACTTTACGCACGCACTTATCACCGGACGCGCTTCTGTTGTCTCCAACCTAACTGACTTTTCGATATTACTATGCGAGAACGCCGTGTGAGCTACAACGCTAGGTATCGTTATTACGAGTAAAGAGTATCACGTGATCGCCACCTTACCACAGTACAGCAAGCTTCTTCTGACCATATATATATATATATATATATATATATATATATATGCACCGCTTCGGTTTGTTTATTCACTCGTGCTATCTGGCACCTGATGCGGTACGTAGGGAACGAGCATCGAAAATTATGAGGCTATTCAGATCCTCAGACCTAATGGGTAAGTCTCATTTCCATAAAGTAGGACAGTCCTCACTGTGACCTTATACCCACGGCCGGTGAATGTATGCATAGCGCATAATTCCTTAAATGCTGGGGCAAATGAGTGCGCAATTCGGGGCTTTACTGCTATCGAGCTTGGACCATCGGTATTGGTTTCGTCACGTACTCTCGATGCTTGTTGACCGCCTGGTTCATTATGTAGGTTTAGGAAGTGATTCGCTTCATTTGGTGCAATTGGTGAACGGCTCATAGATGAACTGATAATGGCATGGAGAGATTAACCGGAAAAATGAGTCGGGTTAGCGCGCATCATTTTCCTAGATGACATTCATGGAGTCTGTGGTGCATTTGAGTGAAAGCTATTTCTGATGTGGCTTATTCGGTAATCCGATGGCTCTTCCGCATTTATCGATTTCCCCAATCGCAGCTACATTTTCCTACTCTTATGGAGTCATGGTTTGAAGTAGTTGTGCTTGAGCATCTGAGCGGAATTGTACTTTTCCTCCATTTCAACCCTCTTTTGAAATACGAAAAGTGCAGTAAGGTCCGGACATAGTTGAGCCATTATTTCTCTTGGGTGATTACTGCGCTGCCTCTATATATCCTCTAAATTATCACGAACGCTATCATTCGTATACTGCAGTACTTTTCTTCATTTGCCTTACTTTCGTTCTACTCCTTTCAGGTCCAGAGCATCACGGTCAAAGAGAACGAACCGGAGCGTCAAGAGACTCGAACGCGCGTGGATGAAAACCGACGCTATGTGATCGAGGCCACCATTGTGCGTGTGATGAAAGCTCGCAAGACGTTGGGGCATGGTCATCTGGTCGTGGAGGTCATCGAGCAATTGAAGTCACGCTTTGTACCCAATCCTGTCATGATTAAGCAACGTATTGAATCGTTAATAGAACGGGAGTTTCTCGCGAGAATGGAAGATGATCGGCGCGTCTACAAATACCTGGCTTAGGTTGCATGGGGGCGCACATTTCAACAATCTGTTCATTGCCTGTTTCTTTCAGCTTCCGTGTCCAACCGCTCACCATCGATTCCCCCGTGCTCTTGTCTCTCACTCACCGTCATGTCTTGTTTGTGCTTACTCGATCATGGCGTCGATGATGAGCATTCTGCAGGCAATCGCCATCAGGTTCTGCCCGCCGGAGCTCACAGACATTTCTGCGGCGCCCAAATACTGGCCTTCCGCATGCTTTGCAATTGTGCCCCTCTCACACAGCCTTTCCAACTTGTCTCCTATGCTGGGGACACATTGGCACTACTATTCCGGATTTCAGTAAACTTCGGTGCAAGCCGAAATGGTTATCCCTTTGTATCCACTATTATTCCACTTTGACTGGTACTTCGATGTTTAATGTCCCTTGGCATCACAATATTCGCGACATCAGTCCGCGTACGACGCCGTGCGTCAACTTCCCCTTACAGCAGCCTGTCTTAGCAGTTGTCGGAAATTCATGCCAGTTCTTCCTGTCTGAGTTTCAGTCCAAAACGACTGTATCAAGGCCCACCTGTGTGATGACCCACTTCCTTTGGTCTTGATATTTTCAATCCTTCCATCTTGTGTATATACATCGATATCCCACATAGTTCCCAAAAATGGTTTGTGAATCTTCAGCAGAGTGGGTCCATCTTCGCTTTTGGTTGCTTGCCTTAGTGTGATGGTTATTCCCCTGCCCTCTGATCATTTGATTCCGAACTCCATTTTAAACTATTTGCGCTGTTCCTGCGATCCACATACTCGTTCCCCCAACTCTTCTGGCCTAGACGATCTTGTCTTCGTCGTTTGAAGTACAACGGAAATTCGCTCGCATACAGCGTTCTCACTCCGTGATTCCAATTTCTGTCACACATTCTGTTTCTATTAGTTGAAAGAGGTAGTTTACTTCGCCACAGCATGTCTGTCATTGGAGCGCACATGGCTGTGTTACTTGGACCCACTCTGGCTCCTCTGTCTCATCCGTTCGTTCCTATTTTGTCTTCGCTGTACACAGGTTGTGGCGGTATCACTTATCCCGATCGGAACTTTTACTTTCTCTTTTTGTTAATGAATAAGCATTTATGCCACTTTTCATTTTCAATTCTAACCATTCGTTGTTTGCCTTGTGTTCGGGCTGTCAGCTGGAGCGTTAGGTTGCTACTGCGAATAGCACTGCTTTGCATGTCTGTGCGCTGCTCTCTCACACCGGCATATAGTTCTCCATCTGGGTTCACCTTCAGGCTAATGGTTTAGCAATTTTGAACTTTCTGCAAATTGTGCTGCATCCGAATCAATGCTAAAACTGGTCACACCGAATAACCCTCCAATGCATTATAACTTAAGTCAGTGGATGTATCTTGCTGACTTATCTACATTCCTTCTATGTTACGCCAGCATTCCTGCTTGTCTCTCCTCTGTTAGCTCCCACCAAATCTATCTTGAATATCTTTTGGTCCAAAATCGTAATTAACGACGTCCTTAATAGCTAACCAGATGGATTGAGGTGTTTTGTTGCGCCAACACTTCTTACTCAAAAGATTAACTTTCAGTCTCTCTTAACTTAGTTCTCTCTGTTTGTTTTTACCTTCCGTCCACTTCTTTTCCCCAGATATGTAATTATTTTCACAAAAATCATCACTGTATCAGCAATCTGCGGTGACGCTTTCATCAGTAGCTGTTTGCACACGTTCAGTACTTGATGATTTCATTTAGTGCTCTGGTACCTGTACTCATTAGTTGATTTCACAGTTAGATACCGGATAATAGGACCGATAATATCCTATCTAAATCGTTGTAAGTCTTGGCAAAGTTAGTCTCCACACGTACACTCCATGTAGTTCTTCTTTTGTTTAGGCGTTGCATCTCCCACGCGTTCACTCCTTCTGATTGAATTTGGACGTTATTCAAATAAATTTGCACCGTTTTCTAGCTATTCGTCAATCGGTGGTCTTATCAGATTGACCATATGACTCTGATTCGCAGCATGTGTGTGATCGTGTCCTCAGTTTCGCACAAGCAAACACAACGGATGTTGGCATCGGCTTCTTAATTGCCTTACTGTTGTGGCTGTTCACAGGGACAGATCACCATCGTTTACAGAGGGCTCATCAGTGGCTGGGCTTCACCACTCACGCACCCAAATATTCCATGTGAACCCTCAAGACTATGCCTGAAGAGCCATGTGGATCGTAATCCACAATTGATTCGCAGCTTGTCCACGCCCCTTGGTAATACACATCGACGAGGTAAACTTGGAGGAAACATGCACACCATAATAATAATAATGTGTCAGCTGTACGCCGTAACGGCGCTTCGCTGCCGCGCGACCACCACCAGTCGCGCGCGCGCTGTGTATACCGCGAGGACGCCCACCCCTACGCGGATTCGAACCGGTGACCTTGTGGTTGCAAAGCAAACGTGCAGACCACTCGGCCACCGGCCGACCATACATGTACACGGCATGGTGACTGTGCTCGTACTGGTTCTACAGTGGAGCCAATGTTTGCGTTTGTCAGGCCCCCGAAGGCTGTGCTCAACTTCTCTCCCTACGAAGATTTGCAGTCGAGATGGAGGCCACGGACAAGTAGGTATCTTGAACCACATTCAAGCGTGACCACGTTTGTCATATCAATCGGTACCCGCTAGCCACGAACTTTCCACCTGATCGAGGCGATAGGGTCAAACATCGGCTCCAATGCCATCACGCAACTACCACTAGCTGTATCTTGTGCCCCTTGAATGACAAGCTGTTTGTGGAACTAAGCAACTCCAACTCATTGGTCATGTTTTCAATTGATGTCCTTTGTATTGAAACAATCAAGTTTATTGCTTCGTGTCGTGCTAGTCGGTTAGGTTAGCGGTGCTCTATTTCGTCAGATGGTGTGCGCCTGGTTCATGTGAACTGTGAATGTGTGTGTTGTAATTTTGTCCTCGGAAATACTTTTGTGCAAAACGGAATAGTGAGAACGATAGTGGCCAATGATAATGTTTGCGATTAAAAACCGCGTCTATCGCTTATAGACTGGCCTTCGTGTTTCTGATTTTCAGTCACTGCCGAAGTGGATTTTACGGCGAATAGTTTGGTGTAGTCGAGCTGTGCATTCAGTTTCGCCCAAATTTGCGTTCCACCAGTTTCTGTTGCGAAATCGCTTACTCCCACGCACTGATCTCGTCACTCCCAACTGAAATGACATTAGCACTACGCCGGTACGCAGTACCCACACTTTGCTGCTGCGCTACCACCACCTGTCATACGCAGGCTAAAGATACTGCGAGGGTTGCCCGGTCTCTACTCAAGTCCGCACCCTTGGATTACAAGCCACGCTTATGATCCTTAAGGCCACGAACCGGCCTTCACTCTAACTGGTGACGAAACGTTGGTTAGCAAATTGTCTAATTCGGCGAATACCGCAGCAATTGTCACCGTAGAGTTACGAAACTACCGCCATTTCATGATCTACGATCTTGATCATTAATGGATGCGTAACAATATCGGCAGTTTGTGGGACTCACATGTCCCCGCACCTCTCAGTCTTCTTGCTCTCATTCAGCTGGTTTCACTAAATAGACCGTTGATTTCAACTGGTTCGTGTTTCCGTCCAACTACTCTACTTTCGTGTCAGCCATCTGGAGAACGTAATTAGGCCCATAGCTTTCTCCATCAAGACAACCGCCTCTCTACTTACTGTTTTTCATTAATATTTTCTCCAATATATAATGTGCACTTAACCTACTTCCTTGTTCAAAATGGTAGTGAACTATTCGTTGTGAGCTTTACTTCTTCCGGTTGGTGTTAAATCAGCTTTGACTCTCCCCTATTAATAGATCAATCCATGGTAGGTTCCCAAATGTAACTCACAGCATTACTGCTTTTGGGTTGTGTCATATCTTTATTGGGGCATGTTCGCGATGTTTTTGGCGAGCATTTGTCTGATTTTAGTATCCACTGCTCGACTGCATTGGAAGTCGCGCTCTTGCCTGTAAGTAGCTCATGGCGCTCGGTGTTGTTTTCGCCTAAAGGCGTTTGTTGGTTTTACCATATTACGGCAGACTGATTTTTCGGATTTAGAGCTTCGAAGAATGCGCATTACTCCTAGAGTCAGTTATCAACACACGTTCCGCAATTGTTGTCCTCTCTGTACCAGTGCTGCACATGGTTTATCCATGACACTCTAGTCATCGGGTTCACGGTGTATAAAGGCATAACGAGAATAGTAAATATACGACATATCCTGTTCCATTGAGTGTCAAACACTTCCGTTCGTTGGTGCGGATTGTCGTCGTTACCACAGCATAGGGCCATTAGGTCAAATCACTACCTTCCTGGGAGTTTATCGGGCGTCTCTGTCCATCACACTCCGGCTACCAGTACACTGGTCAGCCGCTGTTTACCAAAACTTAATCGGAAGTAGGCGATAAAGCAAGGTTTCATTCCGCGACACATCAAAGTTGCATGAGGCGACTGTTTATGAGGTACGGCCTCGTCTTTGTCAACCATGATAGCCACTGCGTCAAGGATTTGTTAGTTCTGCTAGTAGTGCTACGGTTTTTAGACATGTATCGTCTTTCTGGAATTAAGATTGCAACATCATCCAGGCAGCCATGAAGGCAAACATCTACCTAGTTGTTGCGGAGCACATTCTATTCAACTTCTGACCGGTTATTGCTGTGGATCCACCGCATTGTGGCGAAGGGATTTCTCTACCTCTCCGATGCATTGCGATTTCCTGGATGGCGCTTTGATCGCATAATAAGTTACTTTTGTCAAATGTATCCACGGCTGCAGGTCGGAATTACAGTGCTACGCATTTCTGAGAATGGCAAATTTTGTGAACCGTTACCGTATTCTCGGTACGTTATGTTCAGGCTTCTGAATCAAAGGCGTTTGCATGTCCTGACAACAGCATTTCCTGCTTGACCATTTACACTTGTGTTAGTGAAGCGCCACTGCACGTCCTCATATTGGTGATGATGACTGTGAGCCTAGCAACCAAGTTTTCATGCCTAGACTCAAGATTACGTGCACAGAGAAGTGTACAGTTCACTGATTTATATCTAATATTTATAAGCCATCTACCGACGTGTATAAACTGCTACAGCAGTCAAATGGGATTGTCGATGGTGGTTACCTAGTCGTCCCACCGCTGCACCACGGTGTAGTGTGCAATGATATCTGTCCACATAGTAACCGATTTGTGTGTGCCGCACTCAATCAAACTGCCAGAACGAACCGATGGTTGTGTCTGATTATATTCCCACGGGCACACTCCTAGTGATTTGTCTGGTCGGAAAGATAATCTGTTTGATCCTGATCGCACCAAACATTCCTTTAGGGCATTTCTGCTGGTGATGACGCCGTGTTTCTACGGCTCCATCGAATGTTTTTTATCGAGCTCTGTTTTTTATTTGGGAAGTAGCTGATCCTTCATCCGGATAACTGCAGCGGCTATCCATGATATCAACGGAACTAGAACATCACCGTCAGTTAGTAGAGTGGACTTTGATGCGGGGCAGTGTTTTACACACCTTCGCGATTTTTAGAGCTCTTAGTAGCTAGAAATCAGACAATGATCAATTTCAACACCTTCCTTTTACTTTTAAACCTTTCGTATCTTTTTTCCATGCGGTCATTCCGTGTTGTGTCAGGCCTCGCGACTGCTTCCGCTCATCAACGTTTGTGAGAACACGAATGAGCTGCGTCATGACTCGGGGTTTTTCTTCTTAAGAAACCAACACTTTATGTAGCACGACACAAACCAACCGGTGCACTGGAAGCGCGCGACCAAACAAAACCAATAAAGACTGAGCAAATAACAAAACACTCGGAAGCACACAAACAAAAGAAAGTGGTAGCATTATTGTCAGAGCGGAATGTTGATCTTCATCCAGAAACAGCGACTGCAAACAACCATTGATGCTAATGATATGGCGCTTTTAAACAAGCGTCAGTAGATGAGCGCAACAAAACGAAAACCAGCCGATATGAACATCTACGTAAGCATGTCTGAAATATTATTGCTCTTCTAACACTTCCCCTTCTTTAAAAATTGGTATACGTTGGATCGACGCAGCTCTTTCACTGAGGGGATGCACCTAAGTCTTTGTTGTATTCGCGACCATGACGGTTCGTGCCTAGGCCATGATTTCAGTGTCGTTCTTACAGTTAACCTGTAACCATACGAGCATATGGAACAAGTGGAACCAACATGCCTGACCACGACATTTGTTCCGGAATGCGATTCCGTATCCCGTTTAGCAAATTTACCTTCTTAATCTAATGCGTTCAGGGCAGATTAGTCTCGGTAAAGGAAGCTAGGTAAATCGTTCCATGGAGTTGCAGACTAGTGAACTTGAGTTCACGTTCGATTTCTCTGTTTAGCTGCAGGGGTTCTCCTGATGCATTATGATCCATTACCTTTGTTGACTTGACTGACGGTTTGCCACGTCAATCAAGATATTAAGCTTTGTAGCTGGCTTCAACGACGCTGTTACATGATTGCATTTCGCTGTCGATTAATCATACTTCATTGAAGATTTTCTGCGAAATACTGCAGGACTTGCCTTCCTCGTTTCAACCTGAAGCCTGGTTCTTTTGAGTTTGGAGCTTGCTTGCAACTTTAGAGTAAGCACGCTCATGAAAATGTGCACAGTTTGACAGCGGATTTCTTCATGATCAAACCACTTACCTTCT